AACTTGACAATGCACAAATAGAAGAGAGCAACTAAGCAAAGATCCGGAACATGAACTTGACAATGCACAAAGAGAAGAGATCAACTAAACAAAGATCCGGAACATGACCTTGACAATGCACAAGGAGAAGAGATCAACTAAGCAATGGACTTGACAATGCACAAATAGAAGAGATCAACTAAGCAATGAGCTTGATAATGCACAAAGAGAATAGAGCAACTAAGCAAAGATCCGAAACATGAATTTAACAATGCACAAAGAGAAGAGATCAACTAAGCAAAGATCTGGAACATGAACTTGACAATGCACAAGGAGAAGAGATCAACTAAGCAATGGACTTGACAATGCACAACGAGAAGAGATCAACTAAGCAATGAACTCGACAATGCACAAAGAAAAGAGATCAACTAAGCAAAGATCCGAAATATAAACTTGACAATGCACAACGAAAAGAGATCAACTAAGCAAAGATCTGGAACATGAATTTCACAATGCACAAAGAAAAAAGGGTCAACTAAGCAAAGATCCGGAATATGAACTAAACAATGCACAGGGAGAAGAGATCAACTAAGCAATGAACTTGACGATGCACAAAGAGAAGAGAGCAACTAAGCAATGAACTTAACAATGCACAAAGAGAAGAAGCAACTAACCAATGAACTTGACAATGCACAAAGAGAAGAGAGCAACTAAGCAAAGATCTGGAACATGAACTTGACAATGCACAAAGAGAAGAGATCAACTAAGCAAAGATCCGGAACATGAACTTGACAATGCACAAGGGGAAGAGATCAACTAAGCAATGTACTTGACAATGCACAAAGAAGAAGGGTCAACTAAGCAAAGATCTGGAATATGAACTTGACAATGCACAGGGAGAAGAGATCAACTAAGCAATGAACTTGACGATGCATAAAGAGAAGAGAGCAACTAAACAATGAACTTGACAATGCACGAAGAGAAGAAGCAATTAAGCAATTGAACTTGACAATGCACAAAGAGAAGAGAGCAACTAAGCAAAGATCCGGAACATCAAGAAGCATCCATTGAAGAAGCGGAGTACTTCCTACTAACATGTGAAAGAAAAACAAGAGTTGCACTAGGCTATCTCACAAGCTTTGAGCAAGAGATCATCCATGGAAGAATTGGATGATCTCCTATTAGTGTGTGAGTGATGAACAAAGGTTAGAGGAGCTCAAGTCACAAGCAAACAACTTGAGACCAACCATAGAAGAATCGGAATACCACCTACTAGCATATGAATGAAAAACAAGAGATTGAGTAGCCCAAATCACAAGTAATCAACTTGAGATCATCCATAGATGAATCGGAACACTACCTNAGAGATTGAGTAGCCCAAATCACAAGTAATCAACTTGAGATCATCCATAGATGAATCGGAACACTACCTACTAGCATGTGAATGAAAAACAAGAGTTGCAATATCCCACTAATAGGGAGAAGGAGAGGGGAGAAGGAGAGGGGGAAGAAGAAGGGGAAGAAGAAGAAGATGAAGAAGAGGATGAAGGGGAAGTAGAGGAAGAGGGAGAAGAAGAAGAAGAAGAAGAGGAAGAAGAAGAGAAGAGAAGGAGGAAGAAGAAGAAGAAGAAGAAGAAGAAGAAGAAGAAGAAGAAGAAGGGGAGGGAGGAGAAGAAGAAGAGGAAGAAGAAGGAGAAGAAGAATAAGAAGAAGAAGCAGAAGAAGAAGAAGACGACGACGAAGAAGAAGAAGCTTCCTCTTCCTTCCACTCACCTTGTTAGTGTCTTGTAGATGGATTCTCAATCTTGATGAAGTTCTCCTCCTCCTTGCACAACTTCTTCTTAGCTATGACTTCCTCCTTCTTCAAGCCCTTCTCTCCCCCTTCCTTACTCTCTTCCAAGCTATGGCAAGCTCCTCCAGCTATGGCTATGGAGTCTTCCCCTCTAGGAGGGCTGACGAGGCTCCTCTAGCCTCTCCTTCTCTCCTACAACCAGGGGGGATATGGCGGATCACCTCCGAGGTGTCTCTCCTACCATCACTATCCTCTAGAGTCCTCTCCATTACCTCCTAGTTTCCCCTAAGCTCTTCCACTACCATGGGCTCCTCTCCTCTCACTTTAAGTGCAAAGGTGCTCCTGTGAGCTCACTTGGGCAGCATGGGCACTCCTCATGCAAATGTGAGAGTGGCGGACTGCATCCTCAGCTTATGTAGGCTGAAACCAGCAGTCCGGCCAGCCCATGAGCCTCCCCATGAGCCTTGAGGTGAACCGAGGTACCCCCAGGCAAAATTCCCTCACTAGGCCCTCCTGGAGGTACTTGGGTCTCATTTTGGCCAAGTACATGCAGTCCAAGTGGTTGGTACCAACTCGGTCTGCCTCTTGGCCTACCCGGCCTCTTTTTCATTGCGCAAATGCTGCCTTCTAGGGTCCTAATGCCCAAGGGGCAACAATACTTGAAAGAAAAAGGTCTTGTGGGCCTTTTTCTCGATTTTTTCAAGTTTCGGCCTCTTTTGAGTAGGCCGGAGCATTTTTCCATATGGCGGCACATTTTCAGCCTTGGATCTGGCTGAGATCCAAGGCCAGCAATAATCCGAGCTACCCCCTAATAGCCCTTGCTTCAATTTTGAGCCCCTAAGTCCAGTTTTTCAATTTTTGGTGCATCTGGCTCTTTTTTTGGGCCAAATGCATTATTTTGTCTTTTTCTCTCTTTTGTTTCTTTCCATTTTGGGCTGCCACCTCATTTCGGAGCTAGCCGTTTTGAGCTGGCCCACAAAAAACGACTATTTTCTCTCTACCATGAGATCTGATCTCAGATCCATGGTCCAAAAGAAAACCGGTCACTTCCTTTCTGCATTTTCTCTCATTTTCAGCTTTTTAATTCAGATTTTATGGCCATATCTCTGCAATCCGGATTGCCCTCCCTCATTCTAGGAGGGATGAGGTCACTGTTGGGACCTGCCTGCCCCTACTGTGCAGGTCCCATTCTCCTCCACTCTTTTCTCCCCTTTTGTCTCATTCTCTCTCCTTTTTCTCTCATTTTTCTTTCTTTTTCTTTTATTTCTGTTCTGACAAGTGTCAAACTGCTGTGCATCCTCTTTCTAGGCCCTAGGGCCTCATTCAAGGCCAGGTTCATGGCTGATATATGGTCGTTATATCTCGGATTCCAATAATGGCACCCCCATGCTCCTAGGGGGCTCCATTTTACCCCCGTTTGCCCAATCATGAGCCCCTTTTGCTCCGATTTTCTAAGGGCAGCCTTTTTCTCATGTTGGGCCTCTCAAGGCTCTCTTTTCTTATGCCTTGCTAGTCCGAGATATCCCGGACTGCCGGGCAGCCTTCCCTACACCCTTATTCCACTTTTCTTTCTCCCATGGCTCCCTCACTTGCTCCCAATAGTGCTTGCACTAGTGGTGCTAATATTTTTCACTGTCTAGATCCTCGATCTCGACGATGCCGCTTGCTTGCACAATTATTCCAACCTCCCGGACGGTGTCCCGTTTTTATTTTTTGGGCCCCCTTACCCTTGGTGGTCCCATCATCTCTACATTTGTGCTGATTTTTCTAGGCCGTGAGATCTCATCTTACGGTTGCCGTTTACTGTCTTTACTTTTCCCTTGCCGAAATTACTCCTTTCTAGCCTTCCGGCTTGTCGTAGCCCATTTCCCCTTAGCCTTGGCATCCCCATGCAGTTCGTAATTTCTCGGACTGCAGTCATGGCTGTTTTTCATACCCTCAGCCGCACAACTTGCCCCATGTTGAAAGAAAATGATGCGTTAAATTTTTTAGTGCATCCGGGCTCAATATTGGCTCCGGATGCACCTAGAACATGTGTTTTCTCTCTCCCATGGAGTCCGTTGCAACTTGGACTGCAATGGGGGTCAATTCCTTAGCCCCAATGCCCCACAACTAGCCCTTACTCAAAAGAAAAAGAAACGGTCAACTCCCAAGTGCATCCGGCCTTGATTTTGACTCTGGATGCACCTAAAACATGTGTTTCTCCTCATGCATGTATTTCGTTTTATTCCGGTTGCAAGAGGCCTTGATTTTCTTTGATTTTCTCTACAAAAATCAAAGAAAATCCAAGTCCTTTGTAACCGCCATATTTCAGAATGAATCTCCCCAAGTGACCGTTTTTGACCGTTAAGGCCTTTTTTTCTTTTCTTTTCTTTTCTTTTCTTTTCTTTTCTTTTCTTTTCTTTTTCTCCTCCTTTCTTCGACAGTAGGGACCTGCCGGTCCCTACCTATGGCAGTCCCTACTTACGGCCAACTCACTCACTCCCTCTCACTCTTTTCGTCTTATTCTTCCCCATTTTCTTTTCTTTTCTCTCTTTTTTCTAGCATGCCAAGTGTCAAGTGGTCGTTAAGGCCCTTTCCTAGCCTCTTCCTCTTAGTTTTGGCCCTCCCTATGCCCAAGGTGCAGTCCGTTATTTCTCGGACTGCAATAATGGTCTTCCCATGCCCATGGGAGCCTCCTTTTACTCCTACATTTCTCCCACAATGGTCCCTCCTACTCCGATTTTCTCCCGGAGGGCTATTTTTCACATGGGGTCTTATTTGACTCTATTTTCTTAAGGGAGGTTGATCCGAGATTTTTCGGATTGCTCCCATGCCTCCCACTTCAGTTTTCTTTACTTTTCCTTTTCCTTTTGGCCTTCTCGTTTGTCACAACTAGTACTTGCACTAGTGGTGCTAATATTCTTGGTCGTCAAGATGTCGATCGTGACGGTGCACCTTGCATTTATTATTTTTCCCTCATGCGGTGCCGCCGTTTCTTCTTGGGACTTTCACATGTCCCCGCCTTGTCCCGTCAGTGGTCCCCGACACTTAGTCCCGCCGGTGGTCCCCGACACTTAATCCCATCGGCTGTCCCCGACACTTAGTCCCACGTGGCCCTGGGTGCCTTTCCCCGAGGTGTCCCATGCCCCTTGGGCGTCTTATCGCCCCATAGCAACCCCTCTCCTTAGTCTTTCCTCGCGCCTTGTGCGTGCCGATCTCTTTGGTCGTGGGCCTCCGCTCCGAGGCTCCCATAGGTGGCCCCCACGTTGGCCCCTCATTTCCTGGCTTCCCGCGGCTTCTCGCCGCCCATCCCTTGACTTCCTCATTCCCTTATTGTTGTCTTGCTGCAATTGCTAGTTCAAAGGGCCCTTTGGCCTTAGTCTTATTGCATTCCGATGACCCTCCCGGCCTCCTGCTATGTTCTATGTGCCCCTGTTATTGCGCTCGCTTGCTTGCCGCTGCTAGTTCTTTCCTCATGTGGTTCTCTCCTCAGGGCATCACTCCCTTCTGCATCCTAATCCTTTGTCTTTTCTCTCTCCTGCTTCCTCACTCCAAATTTCTCTGTCGTGCACAAATTGTCATTATTCAATCTCTCGAGTGCTGAGAAGTTATTCGGGACCCACCAGTCCCGACAACGTGCAAAAACTTTTATATGCAATCGCAGAGGTATATCAGTCGAGGGTGTTTGCTCGTTCGCTGTAGTATAGATACACTTGTTTAAATGCCATGCGAACCCGAACGTCGTTCGTTCCTTAGGGCGCTGATCTCCTAAGTACGAGGCGGATTCCGGTCGACTAAGATGGTCTCCACCAAGCGTGAAACCCTCAAGTTAATCCTAGTCCCTTAGACGCATAGTCAAAAGAAAGTTGTAACAACCACACATAATTACATCAAAAGGAGTCGACCTTAGTCGATAGGAAGGTATACTCAATCTGATATGATAACTGAAAGAATTTGAATCATCATATGCTTCATCAGATAAAAATCCGACTGTCTTGAGTCGAACTCCATAAATAAAAAAAGTCATACAACCGCTCTGACAATAGCTTCGGTGCAGCCGACAAGGTTCGCCTCAGTTTGGACTTGATGAGACGTGATGCCAAAGTCATTCATTTCACCCTGCTAACCCAAGATTTGGCACACAAACCCGTCTCCATTCATTCTCAATCTTCTTGGATGATAGGTTGGTTTGTGAATGATTTTTGATCAGGTGCATTACTTGAAGCGTTGCATGTCTCTCCCTCTAGGAAGTGGCCTGGGGTACTCCTCCTCCTCGCCCAAGCACAAAGCTCGGATCTCAGAAGTGTCTCCACCGAATCGACGAAGTTCTCCTCCGTAGAACGGTCCACTCTGGGTCGATAACAAGGCCGACTCATAAAGCAACGAAGCCCTGTCCCAGATGCTCCTTAGCAAATGAGAACGTGTCCACTGCGAGTAGGCTTTAATTGTTCTGCTTTTCCTTAGTTTAGAGTAATTTGGACGAAAAAGAAAAAGGAGATAGAGAATAATAATCATTTGGACAGGTATCGATAGATAAGGTCATTCGGGATAGAATGACTCAATCTAAGGAAAAAACTAAATCAGTTTAGTTATGTGTTCTTCATTTAAATCAAATTATTTTTACGGTGCCCACTGGATTAATTATTTTCAAAACACAACTCTTTTTGGCACGCAAGCAGGTGGTAGGTAGAAATAAGACCATCTTTTCATCGTCCCATGTAGATACAATCAACCTCCTTTGCAAGCATTCTTCTACCTACCTGCACACCAATTCGAAGCAAACAAGTTGGGAAAACAAGCAAAAAATCCCATACCCAAAGTCAGACCTTTCCATTCACATGCACAACTCGCACAACTTTCCTCTACCTTTTCTTTCGAACATTCAAAACAAACAGGGTCAAGCAAAGTGTGGGTTCACACAAGTGTGAAGGAAAATCTGAGTCAATCGGCCGACCTTAAGTGAAGTTTGATCCGGCTCACTGAAGAAAGCCGACTCTAATCA